CTTTACCAAGTAATTATTTTTCTCCTCGAGTAACATTTTAAGCTTAATGTTTACTTTATTATCAGATAAAAAATAGTACAAAAAAATAACTGTTATATTCTTGAGCAGATTATTTAAATACACACATCACTAAAGGCTGGATGGCTTTAGAAGAATTATTAAGGCAATATATTAAAGGTACTTTCCAAGGTTGAGGCAACCCAACTCCTTTTATTTTTAACAAATATGCAAATACGCTAAAATAATTTAAAAAATACATATGCTCACCTCTGAGAGATTAGCTTTTTCTGTAGTAAAAATTCACCTAATCACAAAAAGTCTCATCCAATATTCTGTTTTTTTTTTTCTGTGGGGGTGCTAGTATATCCTATAAAGTAATACACGATGCACAGATGTTTATGACTGCAGAAGGTGTTTTATGGGAGATATAATTAAACTGTCAGCTTTCAATGAAATCTTTGCTGCATGCAATTAGCTTAGTTTCTAAAACCACAAATTGTGCATTAAGAAGCGTTGGGTAAATAACATGAGTAAAATGTAAGCTACCCAGTTCTCAGTACAAAATGGACAACTTAACCAGAGCGCCCAAACACTCAATTTTGTTTTCATGGGTAATACAACTGTATCTGATGTTACGTCTATGTTAGTACATAGAATGGTGGTTGAGTGGTTCTGCCATTTTCTGTAGTGAGGGGATCTTAACAATGTGTGCTGTTTGATCGTAGTTATCTGTTCTAGGTCGGTCTCAGAATACTCTTTTCAGACACCTGGTTGTCATAGATGAACACTAAAGGTTCTGAGAGCAGGAACATCAGTGCCGGATCAAAAAGCCATACTTCACATTCACAGTCTAATTGGCTTTTACATAGAAAAGGTTGACACACACCTGTGAGAAAACAGATTGCACCATCAGCTGAAACAAAAGAAAACGGAAGTAAGAGAGAGATTTTATATTTTTATACAAATGACAACTCTGTGCATTCACCCGTCTGAATTTACGAAATCTGGTATTAATCAGTGCACTTTTTGCAACCAAAAATGTTCTCAAAGCACTCGGGAGAATCACTGACACATTTAAATCATCATCAGCTTCACAAGAGTTCTACCGCATGTTGTCAGTGTTATTCAGTAAGCATGACTTGTAAAGAACCTGTACGTGAGGACAAATATGTGGCTATTGTATATAGGTCACACTAAATACATCACGTAGCTCTATCGAACAACTGCATTTCCATCCATGCTCACAAAGGACATGCATCTCTTACAAGTGAGCTTTCTTGTTTTGTGGGATTATGCAGTCTGACTATTAGACCACATCATCGGTTGGGATGTCATGTCACCCTACCTATCAGTCTCTGGTCACAGAAATGCCATTCAAAACATCTCAGCTCAGTCGACTGTAAAAAAAAAGTGTTTTATTCAATATGCTTTTTCCAATACTCTTGAGAACTAGAACAATCTGTTAACTAGATATGTCACAAATAAATACGTATTACCTTGCATTATTTCTATACTGTAAAGAATTGCCATGCTCAGACACACTGGAATTTATAATGCGCAGCTTTGTATTACTTTTTGAGAAAATATTGAACTGGGGATTTCAACCCCCTGGGCTCCATAATAAGCAACACCATCTATTTCAGGGCTCTAATATACATAAGAATAAATAATAAATTAAAGAACACCCTGTGCACCTATACAGTATATGTTTGGTAGAATGTGTTATGGGTTATGTAGAATGGGTTATAGTTGGTTATGCTTTTTAATTAATTAATTTATTTATTTATATATTTATTTTTCAACTTACACTCAGTTTTGCTTCATAAAATCATTTTTTTGATGCCCCTCCCTATAATTTTAAGTGATTTAATATTTTCTCCAAAAATATAATGTACATGGGGGACTTTCCAAAGTCCAACTTGAGATATGGATATGATGCACAACAGTAATGTTGTGCATGGATTTTTATTGTATTTAGTCTCATAACAATGTTTATGGCAACTAGCCTACCTATATTGTAGGATAAGAGATAAATCATATCAGAAGTAACTAACAAATAAATAAATAATTTAATGAAATAATTTGAATTTTTAGGACTTGCTGTTCACTGGTCGATACACAAACTTGCTGTTTTAACTTACAATTATCTGCTGCCTATATATTAAATGTTTGAAATAAATCTTATGCTAATTTAAAAAATAAATTAAAACACAACATTTCATGACTGCCTTAAATAATCACTGAAGATATATATCCCTTCAGAGCTAAAATAAGACAGGAGAGGAAAACTTTGTAGGACATGTAAAGGCAATTATTTGTATAGACAATAGGATGAACACCCTTTGGCCACTCCATTAGCTTGAAAGCCCAAATCAATTCAGAAAATGTTTAAATTACACGTTAAGGTAGGAAACACAAGGGAGACAATAATTCTGGTGGTTTCTCAGGCCTCCTTGGAACCCTCACATGTTTATATCCTGAGCCCCTGCTATGTGACATGGGCTGAGAACTATACAAGGCAATTTCCAGGGCTGAACTAGCCAATAGGCTGGATAGGTAGAGTCTGTCTTCCAAGGCGCCTTTCCAGAAACGATGCTGCATATTTATCTGTTTTAGATATATTTATATGTGCTTTCTCTTTTTGCTAGGGTCTTCTCATTATTGAAATAGGTGGCTGATTGTTTTTTTCTATATGGAAGTCTCCACTGAATCATAAAGTAAACAATATATTTTTTTTAATTTTATTATATTTCTTTTTGTGCTTGATGCAAAATTGTCCCCATCCATGAGCTCTCTAAGTATTAAAGGAACACTATAGAGTTAGAAATATAAACATGTATTCCTAACACTATAGTGTGAAACTAGCTGTTTAGGCTTTACTCTCTGTGGAGTAAAAAGGTAGTTTTGCTTACCCTTTTTTCCCTAGCCTCGACGGTGTTACTAGGCAGCAATGTAAACACTGCCTTTTCTCTGAAAAGACAGCATTTACAGTGTTAAAGGGACAATCCAGGCTCCCAGACCACTTCTGCCCATTGGAGTGGTCTGGGTGTCAACTCCCACCATCCTTAACCCTTTTTATAAACTGCAATAATTACTTTGCAGGGTTAAGTCCTCCTATGCATGAGGACCTACAGCGTTACCGAAATCCCCATACAAAAGCATTGAATAATGCTTTCCTATAGGGAGGTCTAATGCGCGTGCGCGGCCATTGCCGTGCATGCACGTTAGGTTTCCCCTGTCGGCTGACATCGGCGGGTAAGGAGACTAGGCGGAGCCTGACCCAGCACAGAGGGACATCGGCGCTGGACTCAGGTACGTCACTGAAGGGCTTTTAACCCCTTCAGCAATGAATATGTTTTCCTGGCACTGGAGAGTCCCTTTAAGACGTCAGGGACATGTGATAGACACCAGAACCACTACATTAAACTTGAGTAGTCCTGGTGACTACAATGTCCCTCTAACTCTCATCCCAGCATACATGGGTGAAGCCTTTCAAAGAACAAAATCTGAGGGAAACAACAAACAGGCAAACATTTTGTCAATATCCAACTTTTTTTTAGCAAGAATTGATACAAAGCAGGATATTGACTTTATTTCACTCATTCCTTTTTATTTGCATATCTGTACAAATATTCTGCAAACTGTTTAGAAAACACTGGAGAGGTTGAGATTTTGTGACCTGCTTTTGACATTGCTGTGTTTAATAGGGTGAAAATACAATAAATTTGTTTTGTTGTTATCTTAAAATATTTGTTCCTCGTACATAGCTCTGCTCCTTTCACACTGTGTATTTTACTTAGCTTTGCAGTAACAATTATGAGATCAAAACATTTAGCTCAAAGACATTTCTATGCTAAAATTCGAATGCATTTTAATATTAAAGATGCATTCTGAGATTCTATGTAGAATACATTATAAAGAATTATTTTCAGTCAGTAGAAACCCCTAAATTACAAAAAAAATTTAACCGTCTATACCTTACAAAAGAGGGTACAGGTGACCTGGATTTTCAGCTACTTAATTCAAATCATAGCAATTAAAATAGTAATTAGCACCTGGATGACTATAAATGATCAATTTTGCTGATTTATGCAGTTAGCGGTGAACTTGCTTTAAAAGCTAAAATGCTTGGAACATGCAGGTGCAAGCTCATTAAATTAGGGTATATGGATCAATGACTATTCAATAAATCGCAATTAATAAGTATGTCCTTAAATTAAATATCATTGACTTGAAGAAGTAGTAAAGGTTAAAGTTGAAGCGCTTAGATCCTTTCATCATTGGAACCATAGCAGTATATATATTTAAAAGTGCTAAATCTTTTTCCATTACAGTTTTTTTCTTCATGACCTATTTCCAGTGTTTGCTTTGCAGTACCACGATATAGTAATATCAAATTATATAACCAGAAAGGATATATTTAGATTATATTAGATTTCAAATGTGTCCTGTAGTATTGATGTAACTATTACTATCAAGATAACCATAGATGTCAAGGAGAGAATTGACACAGTTAAAGGGACACTACAGGCAATATAAACATATCATTTCATTGAATTGGTTATAGTGCCTGGAATCCCCTGACACTGTCACTTCATTCAGTATTAAATGACATACCACTGGTGGTATGGCTAAGACAGAATTACTCTTCCTTAGCCACACCAATTTATTTCAGCAATCGGCAACTGTGACAGGCTGAGAGCAGTCAGCTGACACTCTCAACCAATCCCCACCATCCATTTGCTACGCAAGTTAATGCTTCCTCATTAAAGGGATTCTCTAGTGCCAGGAAAACAAAGCTCCTTAATCATTGTTTACCTATGGGGATTCCGGTGACATAAGAAATTCTCATGCATAGGGTGAGGACGTCCAGCATCATTTAGATGACCAAAAGTTATCTAAGCACTCGGAAGTCCCTCTTGTGGCTGTCTGGCTGCTTACAGTGTCCCTTTAACTTGAGCTGCAGTAAGGACACAGTTTGCCATAAACATTAAACCAGTGTTCCCCAACTCAGTCCTCATGGACCACCAACAGTCCAGGTTTTGTCAGTATCTCCATTGGAATAAATCTGGGAATACATAAATCCTGGACTGTTGGTGGTCCCTGAGGACTGGGTTGGGGAACACTGCATTAAGCCATTCGAAAAATTGTTTAATATTGAACAGAAGAGTAGCACTAGAGGAGTTAAGGTACTATAACCACTTCAACAAGGTAAAGCAGTCACAGTGCCTACAGTATCCATTTAAGTTTACCTCTTATAATGAAATCTTGACCTGGGAAGGATAAAAGGCTTAGTTGACACTAAAGAGAATCAAAGAAAAATGCATTTGGAGCACTGCTAATTATATCCAAATTAACCTTTTCTCTAAACTTTAACCCCTTCCAGACAAAAAACGAAAGTTAACGACCTCAGACGTACCTGGTATGTCCTCAGTAAATATGACCTATTTACTTACCTGGACCAGTGATTCACAGCAGCTCTAACCTTCCCGGCCCTCCAGGGCCATGTGATCACATAGCACAATAGGAGTCTATGGAGCTGCCACCAGGGGGCTGCCTGAGCTGTCAGGCAGTCCCGCAGCCAGCTAAAAGTGTAAAAAAAATAATAATAATAAAATAAATATATTATACATATATTATAAATGTATAATATGTTATAAAATAATTAAAGCATTTTATGATATATTATACATATATATGATTGCATTATAAGTGTACCTTAACATATATACACATATATCTCAAACTACACTTATAATGCAATCATATATATGCATTAGATATCTATAACATATTATAAAATGCTTTAATTATTTTATAATATATTATACATGTCACGAATGCACCGTACTTCAAGAGTGTGCGTGACGTAGCTGTGGTGCTGAAAGGGTTAAAGTTCACTATTTGTCTGCACTAGACCAGAAATAATGATAATATCCCCCTTAACACCCACACCTAACCATAATAATATAAATATTACTATCTTAACACTGCCACCACCAAGACAATTTATAAATGGGGTGCCTTGGTCCTTCAGGTAACTTAATAAGAAAAAGCCACCAAATATAACTTAGCACAATATTTAAGTAATTGTAAAACACTAATTAGTCTCTTCAGGTAACATGATTCTTTACTAGACAAAGGCAGAACTTAATAAACGAATATTTATTATGACCAAAATATAGTCATAGTGCATACAAAAATATAGATGAAAATCAAATTAGTTACACCAACAACAGATAAAAACAAAAGCAATAAAATAACAGTCCTAATCAATTACTCAGGTTTTCAAGGTAAAACTGCTGCCCAGGGGGTCTCTGGTAAGAAAGTTGGTGACTCACTTACAATTAAATTCTGGCCCCCAAGCAAGTACAATACACACTTCAGTATCATAAGATATACACCCTGCAGATTACCAAGCCTCGCCCAGAGGTTGAGATAAGGCATACCTATACTAACTATAAGTGACCGTCCCCTTGTGTTCCAGACCATCCATCCAAATGGAAACATTTGGTTCTATCTCCTCTTATGTACTTGCCACTGAAATAATAATTGCATTTTCCCATTCCATAGATATGTCACACTCCTTACTTGTGACCCAGTATAGCGGACATCATAATCCCTTCCCCTTCGTTAGGTTACGTACATCATGTTTGGACTTGATTAGAAGATTGTGCTTGTCCCATTCTGAATATAATAAAAATGAGGCTTAATTATCAATCTGTGGGTAAATATTGTTTATTTTTGATATGATAATGAAACACCAGGCTAATGGCCATTAACATATCAAAGAACCCCCTATCTATGAGGGAATATAGACATATAGCAAATTAGAGAGTTAGTTCATATTTAAACTAGACTTCCAGGTCACATATGTGTGACTTCTCACACCTTGTAGAGCCTTTTGATTAATCAAAGGATCAATCCATATGGTAAACCATCTGACTCCTTTCACATTCCTATGCACCATCTGATTCCTTCTGTCATCTGATCTCTACCAAGTGGTCAATTCATATATACTACACAAATTACATTAAATGGCAATATTCTATTGTGCAACAATGAATTATGCACCCTTGACGTACCCGGTACGTCCGCGGTAAATAGGACCCATTTATTTACTTGCCTGGACCGGCGATCCACGGCAATCACGGTCGGGGGGGGAGGGAGGGGGGCTGCTGAGACCCCAGCAGTAACCCTGCAGCAGCTCCAGCATTTCGTTCAGGTACTCATCAGAGCGCGTCAGGGGCTCAGGACGCCGTAGCCGGCAATATCTTAGTGTTTTACTTTTCGCTGCTGTTATTCCATTCAACACTGTCTCTGAACGACTATCCTGAGATTGGGCTTCATGCCCATTTTTTGGTTTTATTATTTATATTCCAGTCTTGTTATCCAGTAGGGGGTTTAGTGAGAGTGTAGTTTTGACTTAAGGGGTGCCCTTGAAGGCATATTAGATTTGCACTGACAAGTCTTATTTAGGCACAGATATTCTACTATCACTGATCTACTCTTACAAGGGACCTCCCACTCTACAGTACTTTAGTTATATATTTTTGTGTTTCTCGCGTTCCAATACTTCTAATTGGGGGTGCATAGCTACTTGCCATACTAGGCAGTCTAATCGTTGCAATTGGACTATGACTGCAGCAAAGCATAGTCTGTAGAGATAGCTACTATCTCTCTCCCCCGAACTGCTCTGTATAACATTGTGTAAATAGATACTTTTTCATTTTATTATCTTTCATTTTGATACTTTGAGGTTTTTCTCAGGCAGTTAGATAGACAGAACGCTTTGTGCTGCTATAGCAAGACAATATATATATATATATATATATATATTAATTTTTCACCCAGGATTTAATATCTGGGTTCTTTTCCTGTATTTCCACATTCTATCTTTTTTTTTAAATTAAAAGTTAATTTTTTATTCGCACTTTATATTATTTTCAATTATATTATTATTTCTTTGTGACAATAACTATTATAATTCTAACACCACATGTAATCAGGAGACACTTTTTGGTAGTATTTTTTTTTGTTTGTTTATTTCCTTTTTGCTCTTCCAATTAAATTGCTATGTGTGTCAAAAAAAATCACCAATTATTATTTTATTTTTTTACATTTGGCATAGACTGGTGGTAAAATGGTTGCATGACAAGAGTCAAAATACCACAAGTTTAATACCTTAGGTTGTCTACTTTTAAAAAATATATACACGTGAAAGGTTATTCAGGGATTCCTGGCAGATATTAGTTACAATGTAATTTTGTTAATTTTTTTAAAAATGGTTTGGAAATAGCAAAATGCTACTTGGACTTATTGCCCTATAATTTGCAAAAATAAATAACTCAGGACAACATTTAGAAACTATTTAGCATGGGTGTTTTTTGGCGGTTGTAGATGCATAACAGATTTTGGGGGTCAAAGTTAGAAAAAGTGTTTTGTTTTGTTTTTTTCATCATATTTTATAATTTTGTTTTATAGTAAATTATATGATATGATGAAAATAATGGTATCTTTAGAAAGACCATTTAATGGCAAGAAAATCGGTATATAAAATATGAGGGTACAGTAAATGAGTAAGAGGAAAATGACAGCTAAACACAAACACAGCAGAAATGTAATAACAGCCCTGGTCCTTAACAGTAAAAAAAATTGAAAAACGGTCTGGCCACTAAGGGGTTAAACCCTTTATGTTTTTGTTTTTTTCTGTTATGGGTAATCATAGCTCAAGCTATTAATTAGAATTAGTAATCTTCCCTTTCTCAAGCCTGTTTCAACATATGGGAATTTAGTCGCACCATATAGCCATATTCTGTTTAATCCCTCAGGGTCAAAAATGACTCTGAACTTTCTCTCAAATATGACTCTGACCAACTTATGGCTCAGCAAACACATAGCAAAACCACGCAGTTACTTAGTCTTTACGTTCAGTCTCATAGTTGCACTGCAACATAGAACCCTTCTACAAACATATACTCATTGCATTTCCCTTCTAGCAGTAATGGTGGTACTAACACAATGATAACACATAGGGTTAGTATCTTCCTGCAGCAAAAACACACATAAAAAAAAAACATAAAGCCAAAGAGACAGAACAATATGCAAACCGCAACCTACCTTTAACCCCTTAAGGACGCATGACATGTGTGACATGTCATGATTCCCTTTTATTCCAGAAGTTTGGTCCTTAAGGGCTTAAATACCATTAGCCCATCCACAGTCCATCCACAAATATATATTACCGTTAGAGTTGAGCGGACACCTGGATGTTCGGGTCCGGCGAACACCTGGATGATCGGGTCCGAACTTGACCCCGAACCTGAACCCCATTGAAGTCAATGGGGACCTGAACTTTTGGGCACAAAAATGCCTCTAAAAAACTCCTTGAAAGGGCTAAGGAGCTGCAAAAGGAAGTGAAATGGGGGTAAGAGTAGAGTGCCCTGCAAACAAATGTGGATAGGGAAATCAAAACATAAATCAAAATCTAAAGCATGGCTGTCAAGAGGATCACCAGAATTATCCATTTGAGAGAGGGTTGGAGTGCAGGGTATTCTCTTTCATTGTTCAAACTGAGCTCAACTCCTGATGCATGGAGAAAAGGCCTTCACAAGCCTCTGCTATTGTGTACATAGTTCATACTAAGTGACCCATAGGTTGAGGAGGCAGTGACCGTGGTGGTGTAGGTTGAAGCGGCGGTGGTGGAGGAAGAGGTAGCCAACACTGTTTTTTTTATATATATATATATATTTTTTTTTTTTTTAATTGGGATAGCCCCCAAAATATTGGGATATACAAAAAAAGATACATTTGCGGCCTGCGGTGCATACTAAGGGACCCATAGGTTGAGGAGGCTGTGACCGTGGCGGTGTAGGTGGAAGCAGCGGTGGAGGAGGAGGATGAGGTAGCCAACACTGTTTTTTATGTTTTGTTTTGTTTTTTAATTGTGGTAGCCCACAAAATATTGGGACAATACAAAAAAGTAACATTTGCGGCCTGCGGTGCATTTCTTGCAGTCCTGATGCATGGAAAAATGCTAGACTCCTGATGCATTGAGAAAAGGCCTTCACAAGCCTCTGCTATTGTGTACATAGTTTATACTAAGTGGCCCATAGGTTGAGGAGGCAGTGACGATGGCGGTATAGGTGGAAGCAGCGGTGGAGGAGGAGGATGAGGTAACCAACACTGTTTATTATGTTTATTTTTTTTTAATTGTGGTAGCCCACAAAATATTGGGACATACAAAAAAAAGAAACATTTGCAGCCTGCGGTGCATTTCTTGCAGTCCTGATGCATGGAGAAATGCTCAACTCCTGATGAGTGGAGAAAATGCCTTCACAAGCCTCTGCTAATGTGTACATAGTTTATACTAAGTGACCCATAGGTTGAGGAGGCGGTGACCGTGGCAGTGTAGGTGTCAACAGCGGTGGAGGAGGAGGATGAGGTAGCCAACACTGTTTTATTTATTTATATATATATATATATTTTTTTTTTTTTAATTGGGGTAGCCCCCAAAATATTGGGACATATAAAAAAAGACAACTCTGTTCCGCAGAGTAGCTGTTGACATTATAGTTGCGCAGGCACTTTGTTGACTCTAGAGAACCTCGGGCCAATCGCACATCCCCGTGACGGCGACTTTGCATTCGGATGTCATCCATATCAACTTTCGATGCCAGTTTCTGCGCCTACCATGGTGACCACAGGTAATGGGGAATCAGGGTTCTATTCCGTAAAGGGACCCTGAGAAACGGCTACCACATGCAAGGAAGGCAGCAGGCGCTCAAATGACCCACTCCCGACGCGGGAAGGTAGTGACGACAAATAACAATACAGGACTCTTTAGAGGCCCTGTAATTTTAATGAGTCCACTTGAAATCCTTTAACTCTGATCAATTGGAGGGAAGTCTGGTGCAGAGCCACTGACCCATGCGTGCTGCAGCTGAAACTCCACTATCGCCTGCTGCTGCTCGCACAGTCTCATACGCAGTGAGCGGGAAGGCCGAAGTTACACTGCAGCGCAGACAGGCAAGCAGCAGCAGGGTGAGAATGCCAAAAGTGCGCACAGCCGCTACAGTGAATGTCACATCCTGTTCCAAGTTGCGGATCAGTCTGGTGATGGCTTCTGATATCCAGTACTCTTTTTACTGAAGCTGCATCAGGGTCCTGGTATGTGACCGTATAAACGCTGGTGCTCAACACCAGGGGGCGTGCGGTTACCCTGCACCAGACCCTGCTAATCCATTCCACACTGTGACTCCTAACTTCAACTTCATCAGGCAAACTGGGTCCCGGTCGTCCGACTGCCGCCCAGACAGTGTCTGGGTCCTGTTCACCGGACTGCCCACCTGACTGTGAAACTACGAATGGATCGTTAAATCTGGTACGAACCTGAACTTTGCAGTTCGGGTTCGCTCAACTCTATTATGGATCCTTTGATCACTACATGTATTAGTTGGATAACTGGTAATATTTGAGCTAATACATGCCGACAAGCACTAGGGGACGGCCGCTCCGCTTTTGCACCCTGCTCCCTCTTATTCTGTGCTGGTGCCTCTGTGCGACCAGCGCCTCTTCCTCCAAACTGCACACGTCACTCGCATGACCTTGATTCCATGTGGGGTCTAGGACCTCATCATTCTCCACATCATCTTCCACCCACTCCTCAACCCTGCCCTCCTTGCCGGTATGCACACTGCAGAAAGCCACAGCAGTTGGCACCTGTGTTTTTCCAGGATGTAAAGCCTGCAAAGGACATATGGAAATTGTTTTAGAATTGTATCTAGGCAACAGTTTTCCCTATAAACTGACCTCTCAGTTTGACTTGTGAGGGTATTGCCCCAGAATTACAATATTGTTTAAGTAACTCTTAGCTATTGATAACTGGTTTAAATATAGCAGCTAGTTATCTGGTAGTTTCTAGTGTAGAAAATATCAATCTGTTTTCTATCACTTAGATCTGTGTAACAAGTGTTGTAGGTGTGAAACAATATTATAAGTGACCAATGTAGTAAATTCGAATCAAAGTTACACTTCATTTGACTCTCAGATATGAAGTGAACACCCCAAATATACGATTTAGCACAAAAAAAAATAAAAACTTGACTTTTTAAAACTCCAATGTAAGCAGCAGATTAGCAGCAAAACAATTAGAATGTTTACAACTGCGCAGTAAGCGCACTATTTGATGCTTCTATTTGACTCTCTGATAAGAAGTGCACGCCCCAAAATGTACTATTTAGCAGCTTAGCACCCAGAAAATTAGAATTTTTACAACTGCGCTGTAAGCACACTATTTGATGCTTCTATTTGACTCTCAGATATGAAGAGCAGGCCACAAAATGTACTATTTAGCAGATTAGCACCCAGAAAATTAGAATTTTTACTACTGCACTGTAAGCACACTATTAGACGCTTCTATTTGACTCTCAGATATGAAGTGCACCCCACTAAAATACTATTTAGCACCCCAAAAAAATTAAGTTTTAAAACTGCAATGTGACATCAGTATTTGACGATTCTATTTGACTCTCAGATATGAAATGCACCCCACTAATGTACTATCCCACTAATGTACTATTTAGCACCAAATAAAATGTACTTTTTAAAACTCAGATGTAACCGCGGTATTTGAAGCTTCTATTTGACTCTCAGATATGAAGTGCACCCCACTAATGTACTAGTTTGCAGAATTCTTTCCTAAGCTGTCCCTCACATCGGCAGCATCCTCTCCCTGTACTAATAAGACCTCGTGTGCGTGCGGCACTACGCGACTCCAGCTTATATATAGAGGCTGGGTCACATGCTGCACTGGCCAATCACAGCCATGCCATTAGTAGGCATGGCTGTGATGGCTTCTAAGAGCTTGTTGATTGGCTGCCCTGCAGCCTTTGAAAACGCGCCATTAAATCGCCGAACACCGAACTCCAACCCAAACATACAGTGATATGTCCGTGTTCGGGTCCGGGGTCCAAAAAACTTAATGTTTGGTACGAACCCGAACTTTACAGTACTTTACCGTGTCTGTTTTTTATCTCCATTTTAAATTTATTTTCACTCAGATATAAGCTAAAGGTTTGTTATAACCTGGCCCTCCTCTTTCAATACTTATTAATTTAAGAGTGTTTCATTCTGTAGAGAAGAAATAATGGGCGATGGATTGATTAGTACTTTTTTGTATATCCATGCATCACTGCTTCCTATGCTCTGTCTATCCCCATGGTGGGTGATCACAAGCTTATTTTTTTTTTTAATGAAAAGAATATTAGCAAATTAAAAATGGGATCAAGCACAAATTACTCACCAACTTTTGTCCACTGAGTTTTCATTAACTCTGCAAACTATCCTTGTGCCAGCTTTCCATCTCATTAAAATAACATTTTAAAGCCAATGTTTGCCGTAAAATCATGAGTGGCAACATATCAAAGCTTAGTAGTAGGTTCGGTATCCATTGCAATAACCTGTTCTTGGATAGTATTCCCATATTATTAAAAATGGAAATCAGTTTGCTGGACAATTTATTCCTTAAAATACCATGTGTATTTCTATTAATAATGTGTTAGAAACACATTCAGGTTTCTATCTGCTAATCATCACCCAGTTACATACATCTACATTTACAGCCTTTTTATTTGTTTTTAGAGTTTATTTTTATTACAACATGTTTTCTCTGTATATATTCCAACAATAAGAAAGACAAAAAAGTTATTGAAAATATCAATAATTATAAGGCTAGGGAAATATTTTTTTCAAGTTTCCGTGAACATTTGCCATCAACACTATTCATTGTTACCATTTCTTTTCGGTACTTATTTATTTATCTTGACCCCCAGAGGGTTTTTTCAACTCATGAAATAAGCGAAAAGTCTTGTCCGTTGTCCGTTTCGTTTGTGTTGTGATTTGGTCATATGACAACTTAGAATTCAGAATTTCAGAGGATTCACCAATCAACCAAAATGTTACAGGAACAATAGATTGAGGAGGATCCTTCTCAAAGGAGCTCACAATCTAGAGATCATGTAATTGTGTATATTGTGACTGTGTGATTGTGTATCTGTGTATATGACTGTGTCTGTCCATGTTTGCCAACATACATTTCCACCCTGGGTGACAAGCAGGCCCGGACTGGCCATCGGGCACACCGGGCAAATGCCCGGTGGGCCGCGATGTCCATGGGCCGAGGCCGGCAGGGGAGATCCCAGGATCTCCCCTGCCGGTCCATGCAGGGCCGGCGCTATCCGAGCGCCGGCCCCGCTATGTTCCATGAAGGGCCGGTGGGGAGATCAAAGATCTCCCTCACCGGCCCACATGTGCTCAAACGCGCCGCCGGCGGGGAGAGAGGGAGGGAGACAGCCGCCAGGAAAGAGGACCCGGCGGAGCTCTAACTTGCAGCTCCGCCGGGTTTCTCTCGTGAGATCCGGACCGTTGCTATGGCAACCGGCCGGGTCTCGCGAGAGTGAACTCTAGCCCCAAAGGGCTAGAGTTCACTTACCACGAGGACCACCAGGGATGGCTGGCAGGAGCACGACCCCCGCCCCCACCCTTCCAGACTACAGGTAAGAATGGAGGGGGGGTGATATAATGTATTTACTATTATGTATTTATTATTTATTATTATTATTTATTATCCTTGCAAACACACACATCACCCTCACCCAGCACCCTAACACATACACACAGCACCCTAACACCAGCACCCTAACATTGACACAGCACCCTAACATACACACAGCACCCTAACACTCACACAGCACCCTAACACCAGCACCCTAATATTGACACAGCACCCTAACACACACACAGCACCATAGCACTCACACAGCACCCTAACACCAGCACCCCAACACACACACAGCACCCCAACACACACACAGCACCCTAACACCAGCACCCTAACATTGACACATCACCCTAACACACACACAGCACCGTAGCACTCACACAGCACCCTAACACACACACAGCACCCTAACACACACACAGCACCGTAGCACTCACACAGCACCCTAACACTCACACAGCACCCTAACACCAGCACCCTAACATTGACACATCACCCTAACACCAGCACCCTAACATTGACACATCACCCTAACACACACACAGCACCGTAGCACTCACACAGCACCCTAACACACACACAGCACCCTAACACTCACACAGCACCCTAACATCAGCACCCTAACATTCACACATCACCCTAACACCAGCACCCTAACATTGACACATCACCCTAACACACACACAGCACCGTAGCACTCACACAGCACCCTAACACACACACAGCACCCTAACATACACACAGCACCGTAGCACTCACACAGCACCCTAACACCAGCACCCTAACATTGACACATCACCCTAACACACACACAGCACCCTAGCACTCACACAGCACCCTAGCACACACACAGCACCCTAACATACACACAGCACCCTAACACTCACACAGCACCCTAACACCAGCACCCTAACATAGACACATCACCCTAACACACACACAGCACCCTAGCACTCACACAGCACCCTAGCACTCACACAGCACCCTAACACACACACAGCACCCTAACACATACAGCAACCTAGCACACACACACATCACCCCAACACACACAGCACCCCAACACACACATCACCCTCACTCACACAGCACCCTCAAATGCACAGCGCCCTCACACACAGCGCCCTCACACAGCACCCTCACACACACATACTACACCCCCTCACACATATACTGCACCCTCCCACACACATACTGCACCCCCTCACACACACAGCACCCTCCCACACACACTATACTCCTCACAAATGCACACTACACCCCTCACACACACAGCACCCCCCAAACACACTGCACCACTCACACACTCACTAGATCCCCTACACACAGATGCTGCACCACTTACACACACACTACATTTCTGACATACACACTCAGGATCCCCTATGAACACACTAGATATTCTTTAAGCAAACACATAGTGTCTCCATAAATGGGATACAGTGAGTATTCCAATTATGGAAACCCCTGAGACAAGTTTCAAGCAAACACAATGCAAGCATGTTATTAAATTTGCTTGCGCTGTGCAGATCAAATACAGGGCCCTTTTCTCATGCCCTGGAAGAGCATTGAACCAACATGCTCACTTTGAGATGGGGCATGCTTGTCATTGGGGATGACAAAACACAACCTATCTGGCCCCGCCCCCTTTTCAGTGGGATGCTGTAATTAAAAATGCCCGGGCCGAATTTTTTCCTCAGTCCGGCCCTGGTGACAAGTCACCTTGGTATACCTCTTTTCCTCTGTCCCCTATAATCTCCCTCCAGTCCCTAATTATCTAACACCTGTCTCCCATTATCTCTCCCCAGCCTCTAACTATTTCTCCCAGCCCCTAATTATCTTTACCTGACCCCCATTATATAACCCAGCCCTTATTATCCCAGTCCCCATAATATTTTCCATAGCCCACATATCTCTGCACCTTATGTAGCAAGGCGAAGCTGTCAGCACTGATCCTTTCTGTATAGTTTAATAGGCGGCATTACTGGCATCTGTATAGTGAAACAGAGACACTGACAGCATGGTCAAGACTGGGTTAAAGGGACACCCCACTGCCCACATACAAAATAAATAAAAATCACTGTTCAGTAGATATACTCCAAATGAAAACTTGCATGCATTTAATTATGTGTTTTTTTCATTGGGGTTATATATAAAATCAGCTTGTAAAACCTGCAGTTCTCTTGTCGGCTGTCTTTGAAAACCTTCCCCTTCTAACCATGCCCATACTTTCTGTGACTTTCCAATCACAGACTTCTCAATACATCTCAATGATAAGTCTTTGTAAATCAGGTACTCTGGGCAATTGCTGCCTCTTGAGGTTAGCTGCATTGAGCTAACTAAACCAGGAAGTAACATTACCTGTTGTCTGCTTGAAAGCCAAGGGGTTGTAACCAGGTTACTTTATAAAAGTGTCAATGTCTATTGAAAGCTGCACTTTTTGCACAATTAAAAAAGGATACTCTTCACACATAGAGCTTTTCAGCAAGCTAAATTTTTTTAGGGGTCTGGAGTGATCATTTAACGGAAACCCATGGGCTCTAAAAGGGATGGAGTTTCCTCCTTATTGACCGGTTGCAGAGTTCTTTGAACGCCCCAGCAGATAAGCCCTCTTCTATTTAGACTGCAAGTTGAACTCAATGTGTCCATGGGCCACATATGTCTCTCAGCCGTAAGTTTTACAGCCCTAGTATACAGTACATAAAGGACTGCAGTTATGGCCCAGTGCAGAATATGGGGCCCAGTGCAAATGTCCCTTTAGCCCTGTGGTAAAGACATGTCTGTCGACTGGAATCAGCATATGTCTATATCTCAAGCTCAGCAGCATAGTTAATTCACTATTTACTGCTTCTAATAAGTTATTTGGCTATAATTATGTGCACAAAGCAGATGCTATGATTTATCATCCATAAGCAGTTTGTCATATTCTGGGCCACCTATAGTAGCAGCAGAATATGTGTTTAAGTTATGCATCAATATAGTTTGAAAACACTAACCCAGTTCAACAGTGACAAACGGTAGCTATACAAGTAGTCATTTCATTAATTGACTTCACATTAACTGACTGATGGTAAGAAACAGACAGATCTCTTTTGCAAAGTCTGATTTTTGTGTTTATGTTTCATCATCCGTCACTAGATACTCAGGTTTAATCTATAGAGAGGTAATTAGCTTCTAGAAATTGGCTTTTGCTGTGACAAACTTGGCTGAGCTCCTCTCCCCAGCTGACTTTCAAATGGACATTTGCACATTTCTATGTTATCCTTCAGCACTCAAAGAGTCCACCGTCACATGGGAAAAGACACATTCAAAGGAACACTCCGACATTAGAAATAAATACATGTATTTCTAACATTGGAATGTTCCGATTTTATTTTAAATTTAGGGCCCCCAAAAATATGTTACTTCACTCTAATTCATCGGCAGGATCCGTCACTGGGAGATCATCATTAAACAAGCACTATAGTGTCAGGAATACAAATGTGTATTCCTGACACTATAGGTGTAAAACACCCTTTAGTCCCTTCGTATGCTTCTTATATAAAGAATTAAAACTAATGTCTCTGTATGAGAAGACATCACTCTCTAAAGTGCTCTATGGGTTTGGAGTGTTCTTATAACTTAAATGTATTACATATGTATGGTAATCACATTCTTCAAGAAAATATATACAGCATTTGCCTTTATATCTTTGATTGTATGTATGAATGCATGGCTCATACTTCATGGCAAACACAAGTTGTGATTTGTATTTCCCCAAATATTGTATAAACAGAGTAGATATCAATCTCTTTACCCCTCATTTACATCCTGTTTTCCTAATCATGATGTGTGATCAGAAATGGAAGGAGTCATTTGAGCACTGGCCAGTAAAGTGTTAATATATATTTAAGTTTCTCCCTTCGAATATTGTAAGCAGTATGCATTCCCTTTACAAGTTATGTGAATCAAATGTTACTTTACCTAATATGTATGTGCTTTGTATGGTAGTATCCTCTAGGGACTGTATATGTATGTATATAAATATATTAATTCACCTATTATTGGTTTCGTTGTCTCCCTTACTTAGGCAATATGCATGTCTCTGCAGTTTATTAGGCTGGTTATACTGACAGTGTATTATTAACAGGAGTTGAACTATAATGTGTATTCCTTGAGGGTTAAGAATGTTCTACAGATATGAACTGACCTTTAAATTGAAGTGTCTGGATTTGCTGTGTTTTGTATTTCATTAGGTAAAAATGATCATCATTCCATAAGGACCATTTTGGGCACCGAAACTACACCATGTCAATGACGTGGTTATGGTGACCGGAGTCCACCGACAACTGCCTACCTTCAAGTGTTAAAGCACTTTCGAACAGGTCATCAATCCATCTTTCTCTCCTTAAAACTGCTCACAAATGCAGACGTATTTGCTTGAACAACAGTGATAGGCTGGCACTATATGATTAATCTGTTGTTCGTTGAAGAATGTTACAAAGAATTTTATGATTCTTCAATGAACAGCAGATTAACCATGTACTAGATACATTTGTAACTATGTACTCCTTCTGTATTTCGTAATTGGCAAAACTACAAGCACTAGTTTAATTTTATTATATTTTTTTATTATATATTTTCTAATAAAGTATTGTATTTTTAACTGTACTGGATCAGTATCTTTATAGTTATAAGGTTACATACTTTTAAACATTATTAAGTGCTTTTACAAATCTGCATATTGGTGAAAGAATGTGCATAATAGCTGTGAATATATAAGGCTAGATGTAAGGATCATGCTATACAACACTGCATCAGAGAATACTTAAAAATTATTTTTTATTTTTAACTAATTTTAATTTGGTGTATTTTACTCATCAATTTTATTTTTCACAAATTTTTATTTTTCTACAAAATCTTTTTTTTTTATATTCATAAATTTCTTATCAGATTATTATGTTCTATCAGACAGAGTCATCATATGACACGGAGAGAGTACTTCTAATACTTCATATTCTTAACTATAGGTTCCCTATTCCTCTGTACCCATTTAACTTTTACTGCATTGAAGAAGTAAACTGTCTCGTTATTTCTTTTTTTTTCTTTTCCTCCACTTAAGTTAACTTATTTTTAACAGTAACATTTATCATTGGTAAGTTAAGATTTTCATTAATCAATAAGTTTCATTGGATTCACCAGTTTAGCTTAGGGAAATGTAGTCCTTTGAGATAAACCATTTTATGCCCGTCTCCTCTATATTAGATGCTCTATGAGTGAGATGTCTGAAGGCTGTACCTGATACATGTTTTGTCTACATGGAGAAGCTAGTCTTGGGTTGCCTCCTGTCCCTCTCGAATATTAGTTATAGCCATTGCACCTAAAACATTATAGGATGTACAATTTTGGTATTTGTCATAATGCGACTTTAACATATATTATGTGCATTATACCACTATTTCATTGATCTTCTCATTTCAGGTTTTTCACATATTTTATGTTATTAAAAT